GAGATAATGGATCGATAGGATAGGAAGGGTCAATGTGTGGGAGCTGCCTCCCTGGCGTCCGTAGCTTTTGTACTTAGTACGGAAAGCATGATTGACGGAAAACAATTCAAGAAAAAAGTTGACGGAACTTTGTAAAGGCTCAGAGAACATTAGATAAGCTCAATGGATTGGAAAGGAATTCAAGAAGCTTCGTTTAAGTTCGTGAAATTAAGTTAAATACAGGAGCCTTCGATAGAGTTCAACAATTTCTTAGAATTTTAGAGAACTGAGCTGATATTCACGAATTACCAATAAAGACTTGTGCGTATTTTTCAATATTTTAGTTTAAACTTTGCAACTATTCAAAACATCAAATTTGATATCTCGGAAATTTCCTCCAGACGGCAGGTTGGTCAAAAAATATCACAGTTGATTGCAGATTTCAGTAAACTACTCTGAATATTTTATTAAGACTCCAAGTTGATGAAGTTTATTTGGAAGATCTCCAACTATTCAAAAATTCAAACGATACCTCTTAGATATGGTTCCTGGTTGGTCAGGGAATGTTTAAATGATCTCCAAATATCAGTTAAGTCCTCTGGGTATATATATACAAACTCCATAGAAAAAAAAACTTAAAGTGGATCTTAAAATTCTGTAACAATTGGTAATTTTGTTTCTTATCGAAACATATTAGACCTATATTTTTGTATTTCGCCATTTCACATTTCCCTAAATTTAATTTTGAACCACTGCACCAATTTTTTGAATCAAAAGATCAAATGAAAGAATATTAAACCTAATTTTTGAGAAAAATATGAATATGGACTTTAATTGTGCTTTAAAATTGAAAAACATTGTTTCAGAGCTACAATTTTTAGTTTTAACTCATAAACTTCATTATTCAAATAATTTTGAAAAAGTGTAGCTTTGAAACGAAAAACCATACGTTGCTAATTTTTGACAATTTTCAAGGCAAAATATATAACAGCCTTTGGTTCCGAGACCATGAATATCATGAAAATCGATTATCATAAATGATTTTCAATGAAAAAAAAGGTTACTATCGTTATATATTATATTACTTTTTAAACAGAAGTCGTTAAATATTTAAGGCTGGAAAATTATATTATTAAGATTTCGGTCTGAAAATTTTCTCTAAAATAAGACTTTAAGAGATAGAAAAAAATGTGCTTTCTTCAAAGTTACTGACATTAACTTAGCTAAAACTTTACCGAAAAACATATGTTTTTATTTTCAAAAACTTGAAAGTTGGTTTTTAATATAAATTCATTTGAGGATCACAATTGTTCAAACTATCAAGCGAAGGGAGTTGCTAGGCGCCAAAACTACAATAAATATTATAATCTAAAATTCTAGGACTACTTTCATGTTAAATTTACAACCCAGACTTCATCAATGTCTCGTACAAATATACTCGTCTGACATTGAATAGTTTTTAAAATTCTGGGACTAATAGATCTTTTTCGGATACTGTATTTTTAAACAATTCAGTAATCCGGTACTTTGAAATCATTTCGAGGCTGATGTCAAATTCTAAAGTTTTTCCTCGGGTACAGATAAATATTGTAGATGCTGGTTTTTATCTAAAATAAATGAAGATATTAATTTAAATTAATTAATTAATTATTAAATTTCCATTTAATTCTACTACTTTTGTATCACTTTCACTTTCACTAATTCATCAGACACTGAAGATGTTTGCAAGTAGTATACGAAATACGTATCTGTTATAGTTCAAAGTGATAGTGAAATTAAAGTGTGAAAGTGAATTAGTGAAAGTGAAAGTGATACAAAATAGAATTAAAAGGAAAAATCGACGTAAAACGTCCACAATTATTCTGCAAAAACGCTCATCAATCAATTTAGAACACTTTTGAGTTGGTTTTTAACTCAGAAACCATAAGCAAAATTACCTGTCAAATTTACCGAACGATCGGTAACGTTTACTGATGTGTATTGCTTGATTTGTAGTCGACTTTACTGGAGAACTGTAATTTTAAGGACGATATGCAAATCGAAAATAACCGACAGATCTGTAATTTTTTAAAAAGGTAACCGACTCAACTGTAATTTGCTTTAATATTGTTTCAAGGTGGCGTTCACTGCAACCCATGCAAAAATTTAGCTGCAGTCGTGATCAATGCGTTAGTGTTGCAAATTGCTCCACCAATGAAGTATTTGGCGTTACACTGAAAACAGGGAAGCATTGGATGAAGATGCTGTTGAAATGCTGTTTTCAGATCGTCGCTAACGAAAATTGAACTTGGACCGAAAGAAACAAAAAACAAGCAACAACATCGGCCATCTGTAATCGGTATTTATTTAGATAACGCAAATTAATTACTCACGAAAAACGCCGCCGAACGCCGGTTTTCCGAAACTTCAGTAAAATATTTCACCGAATTCAGTGATGAAGCTGATTTACAGATCTGCCCGTAAGAATGTTTACCGTTTTCGTTAAATTAAAATGAAATTACCGAAATTCGGTCATTTCATATACAGTTTTCAGCAAAAAGGTGAGAAAATACCGAAACATCTGTAATTTTTAGCATTACCGATCTAAGATGGTATTTTTTTTTTACCGAACTCAGGGTCTCTTTTTAAGTGTTTATTACATATGATATATACATATCAACATAAACATGACATATTAACATAGTTAAATTTAAATTTTTCTTCTTTGGCCTTAACTGCCAGCCACATTCATTGCAAAAATAATTGCCAGATACACACTTTTTTTTCGCCGAGATTCCAACAACCGTGTAGTTCTGCAATTTATTTTGGTGAGATTAAGTAAAACAATTGCCGAGACTCAGCTAACAAATAATATTTTGCTGAGATATCAGCAAACAAATAGAAGTTTTGCAGAGATATCAGCAAAAGTAAATGCCGAGGAAATCGGCTGTTGGAGATTTTACCGAGCTAGTATCACGCCCGTTTCAGTATCAGCACTTCTGAAGACCTGGTGCACAGTCGGACAAAACTTGGCTGAAAATCACATATATTGTAAATTTTGGGATGCTGATTCCATTTTTGACATCGGAAGTCATAAAAAATGTGAACTAATCCCTCTAAAGAGTGATTGCATCTTTCTGATACCAACAAACCCATTGATTGATTATTTGTTAAGCTATATAAATTCATAACATATTTTTGTTTATTTAGGATACAATATTCAGGATATCACAAACATAACGGAAGAAATAATAAATAATCAGTTTTGTTTTGCTACAACTTATACTAACCATTTCTGAGATGTTTTACTAGAGTATTGAGTATAACCAGACAGAACTTTAAAAAGAAAACGGATTAAGGCATGCTATTTTAATCGTTAGTTGCCGTCCATATACCACGTGAGGAATGTAAGATAGAGGATGTTCGAGTGTATATGGTCCTGTATTCGTTTAAAGATTCGTATTAATGATTATCCATGATCCGGTAGAAGGGTAAAAATTCTTGCATCTTTCTTAAAATTTAAATGTAGTTTGTGAACAATCCATAATCGAAAAGTTCTGGATTGTTTAGTTAAAAGTGAAGATGATAATGATGTTGTTACACAATATTAAAAAAAACATTGGAGTTATTTAAAATAAAATCAGTTCTATCGAAATCACCTTAAGCAAATCTAAAAAGGTACCGTCCATGAAAAACGTTTTAGTAAAAACAATGCACCAAACAACTCTCAATAATTCGTCTTAGCTACTAAATTAATGCAGCTCTTTCCAGCCCTTTGAACATAATAATTGCTTATTTTTGATATACATGCTGATCACCATGCTCTTCCCTATCGGTTATATTTTGTTTACACAAGCATCTAAACTTTTCAGCTTACAAAAATAGATTGTAATCCCATTTCATTTTCACAGCTTTGAATCGAGGAATTGGTTCAAATTTTAAATCTTGTAATAGTTGAGCACAATTCTTGCTGAGTATTAAACGTATTTAATAAATACATGGGACCAAAATTATTGTTTAAGAATACAAGAAATTTTGAATTTTTTTTAAATAAAACAAAATTTTCCCATACTTGAAGAAATCTAAAATAAGAATCAATTTCCCAGATTGGATGCTGTTTCATCAAAATCGGTTCAGAAAAGATGAAATGGGAGCAATATCTAATTTTTAGACTGAATAGCTTAGGTACCGAAAGTTGGAAAACATAAAGTTTGGCCCCTTGGGGCAACGAGAAGCAAACTGGGACCCATCAATTCGAAAAATAGAGATGATTTCCCATATAATCTACAGCATGTGACCTTTCCGAACTGTTTCAGAATGTTGTGCAGTATGCATTTACAAAAAGAATATTGGTTTTTCATAGCACTAAAAATGTATCATAAATAATTTTAAATAAATTTAAATAGTTTATGGTAACCTGGGCAAGTTAAATTGCATGAAAATATTCGTTTTTTACTCCCCTTCAAAATGAAACCTTTTATAAACAAATTAGTTCAAAGTTTACTGTGTAACAGTTAATTTAAGTGAGCCATACATTTTTTAGTTTTTGAACAGACAAATCTTCAAAATCAGCTGACTTAGCAACGTCCAAATTGTTGTCAAAAATCGAAATCTTATGCAATAATCACGAAACTTTGGGAAAACTTTATTCAATGTGTGGGAAACTTAGAAAAAAATAAAATAACGAAAATAAAATCAGAATTTTTAGAGGTTTTGTTCACTGTGTGGCGGTGGATTTAAGGATTCAGTTCGGATTTTCCGATCATTTGTTTTTTTAACTCTTTATAATGGTGTGAAAAAATAATGCTTCATTTAATCGGAGAGATTTTAGCATCTAGAAAATGTCACACGAGTGGTGATTTTTGAAAACAGATTTATAAGATCCTCCCTTTAACATATATTAATTTTACCCTGTGTATTTGTCTTTTTATTAACGACAAGCATATTTTCTTCATTTTTTCCTTATCCATTACTGAACTCTAAAAAATTGTCCAAAATTAGAACCAAAAATTACTTTCTCCCAGAGCCGAATGAGTACCAACCTTCACAAGTTCCGTCAATTTCTTGGTCAAATGAAGAAAACTCACCACAAAGTTTCACGAACATTTACAGAAAGTCGATGGTCACCAAAATCACTGAATTCAGCAACAGCAGCAACACATTCATCGCCGCCGCCGTCGTCGTTGCCGTAATTGTCAACAAATTGTCACCCTTTCTTCTTCTCTCAGATCAAATCAACAGCAGGAAAACTACACGGTTCACCACTTGGGCCGAAGCGTAAATTTCTTTCGCACCGCCAGAAACTGGGCAGATATCACCACACCAAACACGTACCACTCAAGAGACAACTTCTCTGCTGCAAGCACCAAAGTTAACTCATTAATTGTACTTTTGTCTTCTTTCAAGGAGCCACTTCTCCTCAGGTCGTTACGATTCAATGATTTTTTTTCACACCAACTGGCTCACTTCTGGGAAATATTTCGATGACGTTATTTCTTGCTCTTGAAAATCTACAAGACTGTAATAACTTTCAAGAGTTTCTGTGGATCTTCCAAATTATGACTCCCTTCTGAAATGTCTTTAAATTTAAATTTTCCTCACTGAACTTTTGATTCACAAAACTCAAAAAACCCCAAAACTCTACAGTTTCAAACTATCACTCTTTAAAAATATTGATGTTCTTCAAACGACCGGACTTCTTACCGGATCCCAACACTTTTCTCAAGATTAATTTCACTTGAAAAAAGCAACACTTTCACTCACCAAAGAACCACTGTAAGTACAAGAACTTTTCCCGCTTTCTTCTTCCAAGTCGCGATGTGAACGCTACCGCTTGCACAAGGCTACTGGCCAAATTAACCCAAGATTGGACTATTTTACTCGATTCTTGTGTGCCCACGCCACGCGCGTTCACTTCTACTCGGGAAGCACCGTCGTTGTTCGGGTCGAAAGACTACTAGGACTACAATCAATGCTGGGTGCAAGCAAACCAAAAGAACATACGCACAGCATCAGACTGGCAGGAGCAACAGTCAGCAGCATAAAATTTCCCCGTTCTGAAGCCACCCACCAACCCACCCAACCAACCAACCCACTCAGCACGAAGCAGTTACATGCTGAGCTGCGAGAAGGTTCCTGTTGCTTATCGGGCGGTGATTCGTTAGCCATTCGTGCCGGGAGTTACCATTTGTTTTGGGTACTCACCGAACACGGGTGGCGATGTTTGCCTTACCGTGCTGATTCATAACAAAAAGCCGAACGTGCGCCGGCCGAGCGAGTAGGACCCGGACTGAGTGCTCTTCTACTGCAATTTTGTATAACAGTTTGCGATGGAAGTGCATTGGTAAATAATATTGCCATTTTATCACATCTTTTCTGCGAAAATCCGTTGACATCGTAGCTGAGATTTGTGGTGTGCAATAAATATTATCAGCTTTATAAGTATGATTGCATGAGTTCCTCGATGGAAAGTGTGGTCAAGCTTCCATAGGACGAAATCAAAACGCGCCGGTACTTTTTCAAGGGCTCTGAACCTTCAAACATCAAGTTTTTCTAATGCCATTAGATCCAACGTGATTGGGCTACTTTGGTAATGAAAACCACATATTGAATAGTGAAGATTGATCTAGGATTTTTTTTTTAAATTTCTGAGATCATGAATCTGATAATTTGAAAGGAATTTGGCTCAATACTTAGGAAAAGCTAAGGAGAATTTTACGGACATTCTTTGGAAAATTCTGAACAAAAACTAGGGGTTTGGATCTAATTTCCGTCCTACTAAGCACAACCTGCGCTTTACCTCTCTTTTCTGAACGAGTTAAAAAAGGAATATTTCTGTCAAAGATGACTTCTACATTTATACACATTTCCACAACATAACGTACCGTTGGATTTGATAAAGAGTCACAAATTGTTGGTATATTTTTTTAAATCTAATACTGCTTCTTGATTCTAAATTCGTTCTACGAGTTTCAATTTCGTCCTAACGCATTGAACCGCCTTTAGATTTTCTTCGTCCTACGGATAATCGTAGAAAAAGGGGATTCGCTAGGAGCGCTTCTTTTGCTTTGAGAACAATGAGCGTAAATATTCAATGCACAATACACTCTAACAGGATTTATGTTGTAGCTAATGAACTAACGCATAGGAACAAACCTATTATTGATTTGTGCACGGTGAAATCATTGATATTATTGATCTTTTCTGATCTATAGAACGGAAATGGGCGATTACGACGAAGTAGTGCTCTACCCTATAAAAACAAAGCAAACTTCAGATGCAGTTCTGAAGTTAATTTCAAGAAAATGTCGGCTTCGGCAATACCTTAACCTATTCTCGTCAGGGGGGTTAAACAACTATATCAAAATGATTGAAAAATGAATTCCAAGAGTATTCTTTTGCAGAAAATTCATTTAAAAAAAAATGGTGGATTTGTGTTCTTCATACATTATTGTTTTGGATATCATTTCCCCATTTGCTACCCGGCCATGTTTGATTTTGAATGTAAGTGTGTACATTCCATTCTCTTTCCTCCTTCTCCTGCGTACGAAGCCGGAAAATGTGACGATGAAAATGTCAGCCCAACGAAATGAACTTTTCCCGAGAAAACTCCTACCTACCTATCAGTTATAATATAATTGAAAAATTTAAATGAAATTGTAATCATCAAAACACTCCGTCTAATGGGACCAAAATTTATGCAGGGAATTTGCGTATTCTCGCCAATCTAAGCAGTTTCTGCGCTTCAATTAGCATTTTCTCAGCGTCACGCACATATATGCAGTGTTTGTTTGTTAACATTTATTTGCTGCTACCTGATCTAAACATTTCAATCTCAAGAAAGTGTGACTATTGTCGGCAACCTTGTTATTTGAATTGCAACGGTTCTATTATCGGCAATTCGAAATCAGCCGCATTTTGTAACGCATATGTTTCACTCAAAGTAAAACCAGGCATAACAAGTTTGCTTAGTTGTAAAAATTTAATCAGATTGAACTCAATCAAAATTTAATCAGATTGAGAAAAAATAGATTTCGATTTTTAACGATAAAATGCTCAAACAACGAAAATTAGTGTGATGAGACAAATTTGTTCGAAAAAAATCACTTTTTTATATTGCTAAGATGCTTGACAAACCCCCCTTTTTTACTGTAAATTTCTCAAGTACCATAAATTTCGTTGTGATTTTATTATAATGGACAAAAATGTCCAATGTTTTGACAGTAAATAACATGGTTACAATGACAATGAAAATCATTGTATTTTAATTGGATTTTTTTTACGGGTGCCGAAATGATTGTTTCGATCCTTAAGATTAATTCTGCATTCTGCACGAAAGCCTGCAGATCCTTTATGAAGAAAGGTAGAAATTATTACAATCTAGAGCAGCTTCATTTGATGGTCAATATCACAATTTTTATCAAACTTGACCAACTGGAGCTAGTATTTAAGAGCAAACTCTGACAAAAGTTTCAGAAAATCTGTTCAGTTCAAATGTCATTGTGATTGAGTTGTCTTTCCCTGCCCTTTGGTTCAATGTTCAATGAGGATAAAGGGTGATACGGTCAAAATTTGGTCAATATCAACTTGACGTATTTCTTTCAATTTTGCATTTAAAAAACCTGAACACCCTTCATTTTGAAGGTGTGTGTGTGTAGAATGTTGCTCCTGTTTTGATTTTGGAATTCACTCTTCAGTTGTCAAAATGCCGTCCAAGCAAGAAGAGCAGCGTCTCAAAATTTTGCTCGCGCATCGCGAAAATCCGAGCTACTCGCACGCAAAGTTGGCAAAATCGCTAAAAGTTGCCAAATCAACCGTTACAAATGTAATTAAAGTGTTTGGGGAATTTTTGTCGACAGCCAGGAAGTCTGGATCGGGGGGAAATCGAAAACCGGAAGCCGCTGAAACGACAAAGAGAGTTGCCGGTAGTTTCAAGCGAAACCCTAACCTCTCTCTCCGAGATGCCGCAAATAAGCTGGGTGTATCGTCTACAACCGCGCATCGAGCCAAAAAACGAGCCGGACTATCGACTTACAAGAAGGTAGTGACTCCAAATCGCGATGATAAACAAAATACGACGGCCAAAGCGCGATCCCGGAGGCTGTACACTAGGGTGCTTCATTCTGAAAAAAGTGATGAATTTCTGATGGGCCACCCTCCAGTTCGATTCATAGCCCCAAAATATGAACCTGTGCAAAAATTGGTAAAGATTGATGAAGGTTTAGAGGTCGCGCCAATGATTTGAAATTTGTATGGGAATTACTATGGAAGAATTTAAAAAATCGCTTATATCGCTATAACTTTGCTTCTACTTGTCCAAATGTCGAAAAAATTTAGTATGTTATTGCTATGGCAATAAACAAAAAGCCTACAGTTGCTACGCTCAGTTTTGCAGCGTATCAAGAATTATAAAAATGTGAAAAAATGGCAAAATAGGGTAAATTGACAGATGAATATGTACAAGGCAACAACGCCAATTTCATCGCAACAACAACAGGCTTGTTGATCATTGTCATGACAACCACATATTTTTTTTTTCAACGTTTGGACAACTACAACCAAAGTTAGAGCAATGTAAACGAAAATCAATAATTTCCCATACTAATTCACCAAAATCTCCATACAAAATCCAAATCATTGGCGCGACCTCTAAACCTTCATCAATCTTTACCATTTTTTGCACAGGTTCATATTTTGGGGCTATGAATCGAACTGGAGGGTGGCCTATCAAAAATTCATCACTTTTTTCAAAATGAAACACCCTACTGTACACGATGATGCTGACGAAGTTTGACTGCGTGGTAATGGACGACGAAACCTACGTCAAAGCCGACTACAAGCAGCTTCCGGGACAGGAGTTTTATACGGCAAAAGGAAGGGGAAAGGTAGCAGATGTTTTCAAGCACATGAAACTGTCAAAGTTCGCAAAGAAGTATCTGGTTTGGCAAGCCATCTGTACCTGTGGCTTGAAAAGCAGCATTTTCATAGCTTCCGGGACTGTCAACCAAGAAATTTACGTGAAAGAGTGTTTGAATAAACGTCTGCTGCCTTTCCTGAAGAAACACGGTTGTTCCGTACTGTTTTGGCCGGATTTGGCATCTTGCCATTACGGTAAAAAGGCCATGGAGTGGTACGCCGCCAACAACGTGCAGGTGGTTCCCAAGGACAAGAACCCTCCCAACACGCCAGAGCTCCGCCCAATTGAGAAATACTGGGCTATTATAAAGCGGAACCTAAAGAAGACCAAAAAAACTGCTAAGGGCCAGCAGCAGTTCAAGGCAAACTGGCTTTCTGCGGCGAAGAAGGTGGACAAGGTGGCTGTACAAAATCTGATGGCAGGGGTCAAGCGTAAGGCCCGGCAATTCGGATTTGGAAAAGCGGAAGCCTAACTGAATATTTTTCCTGAATTTTATACTAATTGAACTTGAAAAAGAAATTTAATTTGATTTTTTAAATAAACGATTTCACCGATTTACACGCGTTTTCCCTTGACCAAATTTTGACCGTATCACCCTTTACGAAGATACAATATGACGGATCATTGATACTATTCAATAGAACACAAGTAAATACTTCCAGAAATAAGATAAGATTACATATTGAAAAATGTGTGAATTGTTAGACAAAATTTGAATATTACATTGAAATACTTTAAATCGAGATCGCAGTAGGCCGCGCTTGAAAACTGACGTGTTTTTCTTTTGCTGCGTATTTTTCGTAAGCGAATTAAACACTTTTTGGCTTGAAATTTGTTAATTTGTGTGCTGAAATTTAATCATTTAATGATATATCGTGTTTTACCTGTGTTTGCCTTGAGTGG